CGTAACGCCAGACACCTCTCAAAGAAAAGCACGGAAGTACTAGCAGACACCAAGGGACTTTGAAAACTACATTTCCCAAAATACCTTGGACGGACATGCGCACCAAGCTGCTCTAGCCTATATAAGGGCGCGACGCAGACGCACGCGTTCTTTTGGGGAGTTTTCCTGAAAAGGTGAGGAGCGGGGCTCTTCGTGGACGACGGAGCTCGGCGATCCGCCGCCATCTTCGTCGTCCGCGAGATTGTAGCTTGCCTCGCCGATTTCTCATCCCTCCTTTTCTTTTCTTTTCTTTTCTCCCTAAATTTCTTTTTTTCTCCCTAAATTAGCCTGCTCTACTTTCCCTTAAGGTTATGCAAAATGTATTTAGGAGTGTCCCGTTTTCCTCCCCCCCGCTCCGCCTGCATTGTTCTTTCACCGTGCTCTTCTTCCAAGATGCGATCTTAGAGTTTGAAGGTTTAGCTTGGTGCTAGTGATGACTTTTAAGACTTTTTTCCCCATCAGAGCGGAAGTGTTGAACTTTTTGCTGTTAGCCAGAACTTGTCTGACGCACCAAATTGTACCGTGAGGAGTAAATTGGGGGACTGGCTGGGAATTTTTTTATACGCCTTGCTTTTTTTTTTTTTATAAAAATTTTTTTTATTAATTTGCTTTGCCTTGCTTTTGTCAGGGACGCGGAGTAATCCTTCTATCTTTGATTTCTGTCTGTTCCAGGCAAGAAGAATTGAGTGAGGAATGTATGGAGGAATGTCTTGCAAAGCTGTCCAAGCTGAAAGATGTGGAGTCACCTAAAAAGTCCTATCAGTTCCATGGCGAATATTTATTTTTTTTAAAGCGACATGTGAGTTTCTGGCTGCCCTATTATTTTGAGTTGGGTGTAGAAAGGTATTACTGCCTTATAACAGTGAAGAACGAAAGATATTTATGGTCCACGCACTAGTTCAGTGTTTCTCAACCTTGACAATTTTAAGGCATGTGGACTTCAACTCCCAGAATTCCACAGCCAGCAATGCTGGCTGTGGAATTCTGGGAGTTGAAGTCCAGATGCCTTAAAATTGTCAAGGTTGAGAAACACTGCGACTAGTTCTTGACTACTGGGGACTGCCTATACCAGTCCCTGCAGTTTTCTTGGTAAGATTTCAGCAGTGGTTTGCCATTGTCTTGTTTCCTAGGGCTGTTTGTGCTTAAGGTGGAACCAGAACTTGTGGTTTCCTGATTTCTAGCCTGATGTCTTAACCCAGGGGTAGGCAACCTTGGCTCTTTTATGACTAGTGGACTTCAACTCCTGCTGGCTCAGGAATTCTGGGAGTAGAAGTCCTCCAGTCATAAAAGCCAAGGTTTGCCTACCCCTGTCTTAACCCAATACACCAACAAGGCTCTCACACATGCACATACTTAACTTGGAATATTAATAGATGTTCTGCTGAGCTTTCAATCTTCCCTGTTAACACATTCGAACTACCGCAAACTCCTAAGGGATATACTTGAATTGGCAAAACTTCATTCCTCTGTTGAAATTTATTTTAAATAAACGAAGCTACCCACCTCAATAGCAATGACTCTAAATATTTCAGTATTTCCTGTGAATATTTTAAAGATTGCTATACATCCTGCTTTATTACAAAAAAAATAAGAGCCAGATTCTTCTTCATAGGATTTGCTGTTCCAACTTTTTGAATGTGAGTTTTGATTGGAAATTAAAGGAGTAATAAACCCATATTGGCTCTCGGGTTCTGTTTGCCTGTTGCAAACTTGTAAGCATGGTAGAGGTTGCTCCTTTTTAATATTCCTAGTTTGAAGGAGATGGTGTAAAGAGTGAGACTAAGCCAATGTTTCTCAACCTTGGCAACTTGAAGATATGTGAACTTCAGCTCCCAGAAATCCCCAGTCAGCTTTTCAATTCTGGGAATTGAAGTCCACACATCTTCAACTTGCCAAGGTTGAGAAATACTGCTATAATACTGCTCCATTCATTCAATGAATGGATGACACTGAGGCATGTACTCCCAAGCTGGGCATGCTTTTCAGCACCACCACAAAGCAAGTATTGTACTTATGCATTTCCTATTAAGGAGAATACAGAATGTTGTTCCTGTTTTATTATCTCCTGTTTTAAATCCCCTGATGTTAACCAGTTAAATTTTGTTTGATCACCTTCCATATTAGTTAAAAGCTTATTCATGTAAGGAGAGTTTTTTAAAAAAATACTTTATAGATAATATTTTAATTTTTGCTTTTTGAGTTGTGGAAATTTCCAAAGAAATTCTTTTCAAAAGCAATCATGTAGCTGGAAAATATAACACATTGGTGAACAACCATTTTAAAAATAGTTTAGGCTATCTGTAAATTGTTGCTTGCATGTAATTTCTTGGTGAAGGCTAGATTAGCAAATAGCGGGAAAACTTCGAAACAAGGAAGTTACAGTTATGGTTGCAAATACCCTGAAAATCTTCCCTTCTCTGGTGTGTCTTTAGAGCTGATGTGTATGATGACTAAAGCTTTTCCCCGCTCCTAGTCTTCCTGAAGAATAAGCAAGCACCCCAGCTGATGTATCAGACAAGAACTGGCTAATACAGTAAGGTCAACAGTATCGCTCTGATGGGGAAAAAAGCTTTAGTCATCATACACATCAGCTCTAAAGACACACCAGAGAAGGGAGGATTTTCAGGGTATTTGCAACCATAACTGTAACTTCCTTGTTTCGAAGTTT